TTTAGCTTATTCCTAGGGAAGGGCCCCTAGGAAAGAATGAACAGAACAAGGATTCCTCGAAAGCCTTTTTAAGTCAGTCTGCAGAACGAAATCATTTTAGTGCATATCACCACAGTTATGATACAGAGAGTGACGGACATCAATTGTGCAAGTAATGAAGAACCACCAGAAAATACCTGGACAGCATCATGCAGATGAAGCATCTCCGTCTCTTCCAATAATCCATCCTTTTCAAGGTTTTGAACATAGTCAATCAGATGATTCAGCACTGAATATGTTACTTGTCTTGTCTTAACAACCTGCAAAACCTGAAATATTTCCAACATACAACTCAGCCTTTTAATATCAATACACTCTTACAGAGCAAATAAAGAAATGGAAAGAATAGTGGACAATTACATTATACAACAACTTTGATGGATTGAGTCGGTAATTGAACTAAATATTCAGCATTTGGCCATGAAAAATTTAAGCCAAACTTCAGCATATGAGTACATGGTTTGGTATGTAACTCACAAACCTCAGGAAATTTTTGACGACCATCTTCCAAGAACTTTCTTGCCCCTTCTCCTTCTGCCACACTTTCATTAATTACAATAGAAGTAATGCTACTGTCACCTAACAAAGAAGTGGCTGTATAAGGAACAGATACTATTTCCCCCAAGACAGGGCAACCACAAAGACAATGGAGTAGAATATGAAATGCAACAAAGAAAGAAACATGATAACGCTATTTTTCCAGAGGTAATACAATATCTTCTCGCAATTTTCTGTACAATGACAGCAAAAATTCCCCCAAATAAGGAGGAATGATAGGAGAGAATTCCTCCGACTAATTATTAAAGGAGGCTTCTTCATTTCAAAAAGAAAGGCCAAACCCCGTATTTACACCACATACATTATGATTTTCCATGTTTTCACCTCTGGTCAACACCCTTCAGAATTTGAAACCCATAAAAAACCCAAAAGTTAATGACCAAACCCTTTATTTGCACCCTAAATTGCATGTGACCTGGTCATTAAGTTTGGGCTTTTTATGGGTTTCAAATTATGGAGGGTGTTGACTAGGAGTGAAAATTCTAGAGTGTGTTGACAGCAAAAAACAATAATGTCCAGGGTGCAAACAGACGGTTTGGCCAAAAAGAAAAAGGCAATAAATAGAAAACAGGTGATCAAAGGAAAAAAATGGACACTGGTAAAGAAGCATAGGCTAAGCCAACAACAAAAATTAGTACCTAAAAAGTCATGAAGTTGCCTTTGTGCAATTCTATGGGCACGAAGAAATGCAGCACAAATGTAACAGGCAGATTCCCGTCTTTTCACAGTGAAATATGTAACCAATTTTTGTGGGAACATTCTTGTTTGAAGGAACTTGTAATAATTTGGGAAGTTGACAATAGCTTTTAAACCTTTCCAATCGCATAAAGGCTCATGAGAAGCTACATCAATTGCTTCATCCACTGATTGCATCAAAATCTTTGCAGTTGCCTGTGTAATTCTTCCTTCGTCAAGCATCCTCCTGTAAGCTGCCTGGACAACTGGTACAAGATATCTTTCAGCAAAGAAAACACTTCAAGAGAAGCAGATATATCTCTCACTTGAATAAGATTTTTTTTTTAAAAGTAAAATAAAATAACCAGCACCGTTATTTATACACCCGTTGTTGGCCCCATCAAAGGACAACGTGTCATTGTTTGAATAATGCACCAACTTCTATTCAGAGAAATTCAATGCAATGCAATGCAATTATCATAACAAAGAAAATTATTTTATGGTCATAGGCTGATCTGTTGTCAAGTCAAATACTGCACATAGTTAACAAGTTTTATCAACGAGTCACAGGACTCACCACACCACAGGAAGTGAACAACATGCTTCATGTAAACTCATCAAAAACAGTTTCCAGAAGACTTTACTTATAGCTAGTTCAGTCAACTTGACTGTTATTAGGTGATTTTGAACCTGTAATCTGAAGGATAATATTGTCTTCCCACAGGCCTCTTTAATATTAGTAATGAAAGCACAACACTAAAATTGTGCTTTAAAAGTTCCTTCTCCAGTCTCCATCTTTTCTCTCTTATGATCCACCCATCTCTCTGTAGTGCAAGTGTGAACAAGCACACAATTTGTGGCAAGTTCCTGATAATATCTAAGCTAACTGAGACCAAAGGGGTTTCAATGACTTCTAAAAAGCTGTACAAGCCAGAGAATCCCACCCGCAAGCTTTCTCCTCCCTTCACTTAAACAACCACTCTTGCCAACCCTACTCCTAACCTAAGGAAGCAAAAAACAATTAAAAGGTAATTAGACTACAAAATATCATGATAACCTCCTGGTACACAACCTGCTAAGAGTAATTGTACCAATGGTTTCTAAAAAATGATATTTTGTTTATATCTTAAATAAGATATATACTTTAGTTTTCTCATGTTTTTTTAAAAAAGAAATGGACAAATAACTATGGACTTTGGCTAATAACTTGTCTCAATAAACTCCAACAACTTTTGTCTTTGAACCAGTGTTTTGAATTTACACAAATATAGTTCTAGAATATTTCCAATCTCATAATATTGAGGTACAAGAAAACTATAGAACCAAAACATGATACAGTATCATGAAATAAGCACCATCTAAAAATAAATAAAATAAATGAAAAAACGTTAATTAGAGATAAAGAAACAGGGAGATATGGGGGACCTCAGATGAGAAATGGTTGCAGAAAATCATAAAGACTTCAGCAGTCAGGGAGATAACAAATATAATAGAATGGTTACCATTTAAGAGGCGTATCCTTATATATTTTAAATTTGTAGGGTCAAGATTCCCCTCATTTTCTGATGCACTATGAGGATCAAGATTCCCCTCCTCCAGAGTATTTAAGTTTGCAATATTTCTCTTTACCGTAGACCAATCAGCAGGTCCAAGTTCCTCATCATCTCCAAGATCTTCAAAAGCCTCTAATTCTTTCAACATTTTATACTTTGTATGGTCCAGTATACGTCTCTGTCATAAGTGGAAACAAATATAAACATAAATATAAAATAAGAAAAAGAGATCTTACAAAGCGAGTTGCATACAAGGAAAAATTACAAAAAAACAAGGAATTTTGTGAAGTAGCTGAACAATCACCTTCGTTGCTGAGAGCTTATCCATACCCAGAAAATGTAAAATAAATGGTGTAGTTGATCCATTAATAATTAGTGTCAAGAATACAATTCCACCAGTGAAGAAAACAAACTGCAAGAAATTATTAGAAACTGCTATCATTTCAAGTTGTCAATGAATGTAGGTATTCTTTTCAACCTATATATTCGCCATTTAGCATCCAAATAGTGTGAGGTTTAAACTTTCCCAAAGGAAAACATAATCAAGATGCATGTCAGAGAAACTCACTAGGCTTCTTGTTTCTGAATTGATAGTTGTTAAGCTCACGCTGGAATTCTAAGACAGTCACAAATTAGATAAGCAGAAGTTAGATACATGATGATAGAAAGAAATCATTGCAATGGGCACAAATGGTAAAGGTAGTTAATGGCTTTCTATAACAAGATTTACCCTTGTAAAAAGGAAAAAAGGAAATGATACAGTAATCATTCTGACCAGTTAGTTTTTAATAATCAGAAGCAACCGAGTACAAGAAAGTTCTTGACACCAGATTATGTGAAAGGAATAATAATAATAATAATAATAATAATAATAAAAGACCTACAAAAATATTTGGGTAACGTTGGAGCAAATTATATAGAACTAACAAGTTTGAATAATATATATCTGACCTAATTCATGTAACTTGCCTTAAATGATAGTGAAAGTGCCAATGCAACAACCCCTCGCAAGCCTGACCATATTAAAATGGCAGTTTCCTTCAAATCCAAACCATATCCAAAATATTGCAAAAATGGAAATAATACCCCAACAACAATGCAACGGGATGCTTGCACAAAGACATAGAGAAGAACAAGATAACCCCATGAATATCCTGAAGTGAAGACATGTTGAAGATAAAAAGTAAGAACAATGAGAAATTATTCAACTTTTCATGGTTTGGTAGCAATAAATATAATAAACTTAACTAGAGTACAACATTTTTAGTAGAAGATGAAGAGCAGGGAAATGAAGGCATTTTAGAACTTTCCTTACTTCAATGGTGAAAATATAAACCCTCCCCCCCCAAAAAAGAGGAAAGAAAAGAAAAAGATGAAGGACCCATAATTTTCCCACCTTTATGTTTCTTTAGATTTGGTACTAATTCTTTTCACCCCCTACCCAAAATTTTGCACTCATGTTGTGTCAGGAATCAGGACACAGAACAAATAGGAGGCATAAACCTGGTGCAGTGTAGAAAGTATTAATCTTGGTAAAGCTTTAGTGTTACTGCTTGGTTGCCAAGAAAATGGATGAAAGTGACTAAAAAGAAGCATGTTTGGCTGGAGCGAAAGTAAAGGAAGTTAAATGATATTTTCTTTATAAAAGAAAATTAAAAAAAAAAAAAAGGCAAAAGGGAAAAAAAGGCCCTTTTCAAAACTGTTAAAATACCCTCTTTTAAGGGTAAAGCGCTCTTTTCTGCAATACCTGTCAATTTTAACAGAAAATTCACTTGAATTCTGGGGCTAAAAACCACTAAAACTGATGGAAACTGTTAAGAATGGCTAAAATGCCACAACCCAACAAGTTCAAGGGCTTTTTTGCCACACATCAAAAAGTACAGGGGCTTTTTTGCCCTTTCTGCCAAAGAAGAATACCTTGATTAAGATTGGTAAGACTCAGATTCAAAAAAAAAAAAAAAGACTGAGATTCAAAGCATGCTTAAGTTGGTGGCTCCCACAGTCCCACCAATCTTAATAATTCTATTTTGGTTCTAGAATTCAACATCTGCCAAAAGTGATCCAGGTAAGCACTTCTAAGTGTTTTCTATTGCAGGTTAACAGAAAATTCTTCTTTTACATTTAAATGAATAAGAAAAAATATTTTTTTCTGGCACAAAAAGGGAAAAAAAGCATCAGAATGAGAATAATATTTTCAGATCAGATGAAGGATCATATTGATTTTTCTTTTTTATTTTTTATTTTTTATTAGTTCATTCTTTATTTAATATTAGTTAGTGTCTGAATTCTAGTGGCCTAAGGAATAGTTCAAGGTCTCTATAAATAGATATGTAATCTTTATCATAGAAGGGGCTTTTGATTAATGCAATCTTGAGAAGTTGGTTTATCCATGCCTAGCATTCCCATAGGCTAAAGCTTTGTTCCATATTCATTCTTCTTCACTCTCATCTTATCTCCCCTAAATGGCCAAATTATTCTTTCTTCTTCGC